CAGACAGGTGAAAACAGGCTCCAAGTGTCACTGGCAGGCTGAATGGTTGCTGTTTCGCCAGCATGAAGGTGATGGTGAAATGGTGTTTTTCATTATTACTTCACAACAAAAGGAACTGAGGGGCCATGGTGTGTGGCTGGTTAAAACCAAAATCAAGAGGATTGTGTGTCTTTAAAGAGGCTCTGCATGCTGAGTGGATGTGTGACTAATGGCTGAGCTCAATAACAAATTCCTCTGAGAGAGTGCCATCCGGGAGCTACCTGGTTTCTGTGCAGGTTTCTAGGCCTCGTGCCACCTGTTTAAGGAGGGACTTCCTATGTGCATCATGCCACAAAGATGCACAGGCTCTCTAAGTAGGGAACTGGCCCATCCCCTGGCCACCTCTGCAGAGCCAGGCATAAGGTTAGTGCCTATTTCAAACTCATGGATTGAGGGATTTGATAACCAATTGATTTAATAAGTGCAGTAAGTAGAGCAGAGTCTCTAGTGTTGTTTTGTATTTTGTGTTTTAGCCTTGGGTCCTAAAAGTTAAAAGAGACAAAATACATTCTTTGGTTAGTTGGTTTTTTTATCCCCTGGGGATAATGGTTTGATAAAGACAGAAAGGGGAGGAGAGGGAGGGAGGGAGAGACAGAGAGAGAGAGAGAAAGAGGAAGGAAGGAGGGAAAGAGAAAAGGAAGGGAGGGAGGGAGAGAAGGAAATATTCTTACATACATACAACATACTAAACACTAGGAGAAGCATTTGTACTTGGATTACTTCATATAATAGCTACCCTGAAACTAGAGGTCTATCTTGGTACTAGTTTCATTTACTACATGTGGAAAGGATCAGAGAGAGCAATTCATTCAGTATCACAGTCAATGTTGCATTTTTATCTATCGTATGCACATGTGTCCACGTGTACACATACTTGTAAAAGTGATCATGTCGCCTCCTAAAATTCTCCAGTGGTTTTCAGTGTTCTTCGGGTAGATGACAGTCCTTAATATGCTTACACAGCCCCTGCAGCTCATACCCCTCCCCGCTCACTCACACTTTGAGCTTCCCAAAAGTCCCTCGTTCTTTCCCAGTACAGGACCTCTGCAAATACTGTTTCCTCTGCCTGAAACACCCCCCAATCATCACTGACCCCTACCTAGTTACCCCTCTCCCCTCGTTCATGTCAGCTGCAGGGGGAGCCTTTCTTGACCTTCTCTGACTATCCCCAGTTATTCGCCTTCTTGGCCCTGCATCCTTCCCACATCCATCCCGTTTGCAACCTCACACCAGTCTTTGTGATGAACAGACTAGTCTACAGTCCCTCCACTAGACAAGAGGTGTCTAAGTTCAGGGACAACCCATTCACCATTGTATCCTCCTGCCCTTTAGCACGGTAGGTAGGCGGCATGCAGAGTGGCTGTATTTTTAAGTATATGTGTAAGAAATCAGACCTAGATTGTGACACCAGCCAGGGGACCGTGCAACCGAGAAATGCCCCAAGAGATGGGAGTGACTCAGGGCTGGGACACAGAGCATAAGTTTTCATCCGGAGTGATCATCCATCATCATTAGTTTTGGGGGAAGCTGGAGATTGTACTGCAAAGACTGCATTGCTCTGACTTCTGGGCCAGGCTGCTCGTAATTGTTTTAGAAATCCAGAGCCAGGAATCTGACAAAATGTTTTGCTCTTTTTTTCTGTCTCTCTTAAAAATGATAGATCAGCTGCTCGGTGTTTTTCATACATTCTTTAGCCAGTGTTAGGTTTTTCTATCCACATTTCACATTACAGATTCTTTATGAAAATGGCTACAAGAGAGAAATTTAATGAGATTATGATTTTTTTAAGGCTCTCTTTCTCTAATTAATACCCCAGAAGGGGGATTTTTTTTCCTGACATAATGGCCTTTCAGTGTTAAAAGGGCTTAATATCATGGTGAAATATGTTAACTTTCCTGGCACTCTGATCTGACTGATAAAATGAAAAGGGAGTGCATCTGTCTTCCCAGGGCTTCTGCCACGGCAAATGGGGTTGTTTTCAGTATTTTCATAATGAACTAGTCAACTGCTTATTCACTAATTGTGTCTACATTAAAAATTTATTACCCTGGAAAAGGGCTACATTGCATTTGACCTTCCAACTAGAGTTGGGAGGGGTGAAGATCACTGTTAGAGGAAACAGTCAAACCCAGGCAGGGTATTTTTCTCTTCTCTGAAACAGGTGTGAGGTCTTCTGTGGAGTTGCCACATGTGAGAGGCTGAAATCCAAAAAGATGGAAATGGCTCACTTGGCTGGGTAGGGTCCATGCCTCAGTAGGTTTCAGCCTCACTATCAGGATGGTAAAAACAACTGTAATGATGACAGTCACTCCTTGAGCAAATTGTTCCTGCAGACACAGTGCACATATAACCTCCAATTCTCACGTCAACTGTAGGAGGCAGGTACTGAAACCCACTCTTACTTATAAAGAATCTGGGGCTCAGACAGGTGAAGTGACCTTTCCCAGAGACACACAGCTCATCAACGGCAGAAGGGGATGTGAATCATGCCTTTTTAACTTCACATTCTGGGCTCCTAGCCTCTCTGAGGATGCTGGAAAAATGAGACACTAGGTGATGAAAAGCTACAGCATATCCCAAATCACTATCTGCTCCTCCGTTTTCACTGCTTCCTGGACAGCTTTCTGCATAGAAGCAGTCACAGCCTCCCTTCTTCCCTTTTGTGGTATAGACAGACAATGCCTGGCAGTTCACCACACCTGGGCAGGCAGGAAGACTACATTTCCCAGCCTCCTTTACTCGTAGACTGAGACCATATGATTAAATGTTGGTCAATGGAGTGTTGGCAGAAGTGATCTAAGTTACTTCCAAGACACTACCATGGCAATTTTGGAGGCCGTATGATTGGATGGCACTGCTTTGAGATGCTGCAAGAGCTGCCCAGTATGCGGCAGAGTTTGTGTAAATAAGAGATAAAGGTTTATTGTATTAAGCTACTGAATTTCCAGGTTTATTCATCTCTGCTGCATGGCCAACCTCATCTAACTGAATTCCCTTTTCAAAGAATAATCATAAGTCTCTATGTCTCTCATCTCCATTCAGTCCACAGACATTATTAAGCACCTCCTGTGTGCAAGACCTCAGAAACACAGTGGCCACTGAGGCACACATGGTTCTGGCTCTTGTGATGCTTCATTTCATGTGTTCACTTGATGGGGCCAACAGACGTCCACACGCTTTATTCTGGGTGTGTTTGTAAGGGTATTTCTGGATGAGATTAACATTTGAATCAGTAAACCGAGTAAAGCAGATCACCCACCCCAGTGTATGTGGACCTCATCCAATCAGTTGAAGACCTGAACAGAACAAAAGGCTGAGTGAGCAAGAACTTGCCCTGCCTAATCCCTGGAGCTGGGACATCTGCATTTTCCTGCCTTCAGATTCAATCTGAACAGTCAGCCTTTCTTGAGTCTTGAGGATGCTGGCTTTTGAACTGCAACTTCCACCAGGTATAAAGATATGGATATAGATACAGATATAAATACAGATATAGCTATTTCTCCTCTAGTTCTGGTTCTCTAATTAATACACCTTCAAAGACTCTGGATGTAGAGAGATAACAAGTAGACAAATGAACATGCATCTTAAATCATTACAACCTATGGTGCTTTCCATGAAAGAAACCAACAAGTTTGTTAAGACAGAGAAGCATAGGTGGCCGAGAAAGGGATCTCCAGGGAGATGACATTGTTTTAAAATGTAGGTTTTATTAAGTTTCTGTGATGGCTGCCCTTGTACTGTTTACCATGTAAGAACTTATTGACTATGTAAGAATTTGTTCACCATGTAAGAACTTGTTTGTTATGCTTCAGAAGATCGGAGACTGATGAGAATTAGGCTTGGGGTGGCTTAATGATTGTGCATTGAGTCCCCTATACAGAATTTTATTGTTGTTAACAACCATTTGATCAATAAATATGAGAGATGCCCTCTCAAAAAAATGTATGTTTTATTAATATTCAGGCATGGCAAAGCCAACATACCAGGAGATCAGAAAATGATTACCATTAAAAGATAGTTTATTATAGTTATGCATCCTAAGGAGGAATGGGCGGGCCACATGGAGAAGCACCCGGGTCAGACAGCAGGCAAAGGGAGGGGTAAGGGGAAAACATAAACAGGAGCCTTAACTGTGGTTCCTGAAGGAAGGAACGGGAGAGGCAAGGTAAGCAGGCTTAGGCATAGTTACTTGGAATAATTTTGGTGGGCTTTGGAACATTGAAGCTACCTCTAGTTGTGTAGTACCTAGACCTGAGTGATTAAGGTAGAGGAATAGTGAGTGGTCTGCAGCACAAGAACCCTTTTGAAGCAGGTAGTTGGAGGTAGGGACTCAGGCTTGGTTGGTTTGCATCTGAAAGGCATGCTTGAGGCAAGCCCTTTATTATCTATAGGTATTGGCTAAGCCTGGGATAGGCAGTCTCACCAGGGTCCAGCTAAGTCCCCAGATTCAAAGCACCAAATACAGAAATTACAAAACATGGTTATTACAGACATGTGACCTGAATAATGAGAAGCCATCAGACATGGGGAGAACAAGAAGACATGCTCAAAGCAGATAGAACAGCATAGAAAATCTAAGAGATGAGACAGAAAGAATGGCCAGAAATGAAAGGAGTGGGTAACTGTGCCAAATGCTGCGAAGAAGGGGAGTAAAATGAGAATGGAAAAGACTCTCCTAATAACAAAAAGGAAATCTTAAAGAGTGTATACTACCCACTGCCTCTTCTGCTTCCCTACTTTCTCTGGCTTGGTCTGGCTTCTTTGCCCAGAACCACCTCGTGAAGGTCACCAGTGGCTTCCCACTCATCCCATCCAGTGACCTTTCCTTTGCCCTTATCTTTGACAGCTTCTCTACAACACCTGGATTGAGTATCGGGGACACAGCAGTAGCTAAAAAGAGACAAAAATATCTGCCCTCACAGTGGTGACATTCTAGTGGGGGAGAAATTATAACAGACACAATGGATAAATACAAAACGTCAGGTAAGAGTGAGGCTATGGAGAAAAGCAGGAAAAGATATAGGGAGAGTGTGGGAGGAAATGGGAGAAGGTATTTGTGAGAAGTGGCTAGGAAAGCTCTCTCCAGGCTTGCTTTGTCAGCCATGTTAAAAAAAAAAAGGGGGTGCACTTGATCCTAAAGCAAAGAAGATGCTCTAAGATGCCATGACCAGGTGTTTCCTCAAGAGGGCTGAGATGTAAAGGATAAGATGGCCAGTGCCATGTAAAGGGGGGACAAAAGGGTGGTCCAGGCAGAAGGGATAACAGCAAAAGCCCAGAAGCACAAAAGATCAGTTAGTGGTCTGATATAGCTTCACTTAAGAGAGGAACTTGGAGAAAATGCACAATCTTGGGCAACTCCCTTCACTTCTCAGGGTCTGAATCATCTCATTTATGAAATGGGAGACAATAAAACTGACATTTGCAGATTTATAAAGAGCACATATAAAATCACAAGTGTAATCTCCTGCTCAACAGTGGACATTAACAAACGACAGCTGTTATCAGGAGAATGACTTCCCATTGAGAATTGTGTGGTTAGAGAATCAGACTCCAGATTCTGTGTGGCTGATATTTGCCATTTTTTTTAAAGGTTGTACGACTTGTGGGCCAATACTGCTTCTTGGGTCCAATTTAAAAGCTCTCCACTGTTTTCATAAAGATCTGTTGACATGATTTATTGGGGACTCTGTCCATTAACATTTTTAAGTGCTTAATAATTCCCAACCACCCTTGTAAATTAATCTTAGTAAGTTCACAGCAGAAAGAACTTTGTTCTCTAACCAGCATATGACAGTGTTTCCACTCCCCTGCCTACTGGAGGAAAGGATCGTATGTGTGGAACTGTGAACCCCTGAAAGTAGAGAAGACACTGTAAAGTGCCTTCTCCACTCACGGTCAGAGGAATCCGAAATCACCTCAGCCTCAGTTTCCCCATCCATCCAATGGGATAGGGGATGTAAAACAAATTTTCCTGAGCTTGTGACACTTACATAGTTTTGCCAAATTTGTCCACTCCATATTTATTAAATAATTCACTAATTAAATATTGTTTATTAAGTAATTCTTCTTAAACTCATATCTAATATCACTATCTTTGCTTTATTTTAAGCAGTAACACCTATAAAATTGCAGATTTGATGTGCTAACTGAAGTTTTTCTATTAAATTGTTGAAATTACAATAATTTCACTTATGTGCTCCCTGAAGTCTTTTGTGCACCTCGGGGCATGCACGTACACTGAGCTGCTGTGCTAAAGAAGCAGTGAGTTGTAGAGGTCACGCCTCCAGGCTGTGAAGTGTACTGCCTGAATTCTTCTCCTGGTTCTATTGCTTTCTGAGTAAGCACGCCACTTAACTTCTCTGACACTCAGTTTGCTCATTTTGAAGATTGGTGGACAATAAGATTTAATAATTTAAGATAAGTAAATAATAAGATTTTAATAAAAGATTTACTCATAGCTTATTTTAAGGATTAAAAATTTGAAATAAATATGAAAAGATTTTAGAACATTACCCAGCACGTAGTATGTAATCAATAAATATTAATTTTTTTTTGTTCTTGTTGCTCCAGCAAACATTTTTCTCAAGAAAACATAGCCCAGTGCTTAGCATATGGTAAGCAAGCTTCTTGGGAAACTGCATAAGGCTGGGAAAAGAGCCACTTCAACGGACTTGAGAGAATGATTCCCAGAGCAAACTCAGGGCGGGGAATAGCTCCTGTTACCACTATAATAATAGAAAACTTCATAAATCAGGGTAGACTATCCCTAGAATAAATACATCTATGATCCTAACTTAACAAAACTTAAAGTCAATACCCAAAGGGATAAAACTGTCTTGAGTAACTTAACTGCATCCTAGAGAAAATTATCAAGACTATTCATGAAAACAAAAAATATTCTCCCTAAAATGTGAATTAAAAATGTCTGGCATTCAATAAAAAATCACCAGGCATGCAGAGAAAAAGGAAAAACAATCCATCATGAGAATAAAAATCAGTCAGTTGAAACATCACAAATGATAAAATTTGTAGGCAAAGATATTAAGCCATTAATTATAACTGAATTCTATATATTCAAGAAGTTAGAGGACATACAATGTTAAGTGTAAACATGGAAGATATATAAAAGACCCAATTCAGACTTCTAAGGATACACACTACAATATATAACAGGAAATACACATATAACAGGACATCCAACAGTGGATTGGATTAAAAGAAGATCACACAATGGAGAAGAAAATATTAGTGAACTGCAAGACCTAATATAGAATCAGTTAAAATGAAACACTGAAATTCTTTAAGACAGAAATTTTTTAAGAACAGAGCATCTGAGAGATGTAGACTTGATATTGTATCTTCTGTCAATGTTTCTTAAGCTAGAAACTAAGGTCAATCATTTGTAATCTTCTAATGTGAGCATTTGTGCTATGAATTATCCTCTAAAAACTGATAAAGCTGCATCCCACACACTTGGTTGTGTTTCATTTCTATACAATTCAAAATACATTCTGATTTTCTCTTAACATTTCTTTGAACCAAGATTATTTAAAACTATATTTTCATTTCCAAATATTAGGGTATTTGCTAGATACTTTTCTGCTATTGGTTCCTATTTTCATTCTTTTGTGGTCACAGAATATACTTTGCAAATGAACCCCTTTAAAATAACTGAGATTTGTTTTATGGCCCAAAAATGTAGTCCATCTATGATTGTCTTTTGGATTGCATTGTTCCTGGTGAGAAGTCTGCTGTTATTCTTGTTTGTGTTCCCTCTATATGTAATGGGTTCATTTTTCCTCTGGCTGCTTCTTTAAGATTTTCTGTAAATCACTGCTTTTCAGCAGTTTGGTTCTGATGTGTTTTTTGTATGCATTTCTTTATGTTTTTTGTACTTTGTGATTTGTTAAGTGTCTTGGGTTTGTGAGTATAGTTTTCATAAATTTGGAAAATTCTTCGTCATTGATTATTCAAACTTTTTTTTTTTTGCCTCCTCTTTTCTCTTCTCCCCCAGGGACTCTGGCTCCACATGTATTAGACCACTTGATGTTTCCCACATCTCTCAGATGCTCTGTTCATATATTTATTTTAAAAGAAAGGAGCCCATTTGGGGAAGGAAAACTTAAAATTGTCTTTATTTTCAGGTAATATCATCATCTATGTAGAGAATTCTCGGAATCTATCAAAAAAAAAGGCCACTATTACAACGAAGAAAATATTTTAACAAGTTTGCAGGACACAAGATCAATATACAAAACTCAATTGTATTTCTATAGAAGAGTAATGGACTATTAGAAATTGAATGTGAAGAAAAATGCTGTTTGCAATAGCATAAAAATACTAAATACTTAGAGATAAATATGATAAAAGATTACAAGTCCTGTACACTGAAAACTATAAACACTGAGAAAAATTTTAAAAGACCTAAAGAAATGGAATGATGCACTGTATTCATGATTTAGAAGACTCAGTGTTGTTAAGACGTCAGTTCTTCCCAAACTAAATATATAGATTAAATGAAGTCCCTTTAAAAATTAAACAGACTTTTTGTAGAAATGACAAACTGATTCTAAAATTCATATAGAAATTCAAAAGTTATAAGCAAAATAACTTTAAGAAGTAAAATAAAGTTGGCTTAGAGATGTTAAATATTCCCAAGACTAAATGAAGATCATGCCTCTCCCCTCCCTTAAATGACATTTGAGACTTAATGCCCCTCTCCCCAGGGCCGGTTCTAGGTATGACCCCCAAGGACATTTTCTCATTTCATCCTTACTATAACCCTAGAAGTTTAGCATTATTAGCTCCCTTTACAGACAAGGAAACTGAGGTACAGGTAAACTAAGAAACTTGCTCAAGGTCATTCAAGTTCTGTCCATGTTCTTCAAGGATATGGCCTTTAATAAAAAGAAAAGGATATATGGGTTGACTTAGTCTCTCTCTCTTGACTTAGCCTTTCTCTCTGTTTCTCTCTTTCTAGCAATTAGAAAACATTACAAGTAACACATTCGCCTTAAGAATTAGGATTGCAAAGAGCCATCTTTTGACAGGATAACTACTCCAAAATGATGAAACAATATGTGCTCAAAATCACTTCCTCTTCTTGTATCAGAATTTTTTCATGTAAATGGATAATGTAATCTCCTTTCCTTTCCTGAGCTGTTGCAGCTGAAGTCTTTTTCAAGTGTTCTGACATCTACTTTTCTGAGATTCCCTCCCAATTTCTCTTATGACAATGATTATATACCTACACAATAACATCTACACTATGTCACATGGCATACAAAACAATCCTGTGTGTAACACACCATCAAGGCCCAGGAATTGCCTACTTATTTCCAAGTCCATTTGCCCCTAATTATATCACAGAAAATAATTTGGAGAAGGCTTGGATTTGTTTTATGAAATCTGGTTTATCACTGTAGCAAACATTCCTATGTATTAAAGATATTCTTTAGACCCAGCACAGTGATTGATGGTAATGCAAATATAAAAGAGCATCCTTACTTCTGTGTTTTTCCTTAACAGCTCTCCAAGAATCATCTGACAATCTAATTTGTTTCTTAACGACTCCTATATCCAAAGAAACACACACCTTCCCTATGTCCCAAGAATTCCACCATTCTACATTCACTCATAAATCTTAAGAATTCATACTTATTCGCCTTATTCTTCAATACCAACTATGCCCCCAAAGACCCTGAGACTCATATGCATACTCTGTCCAAAGAAAAAGCTCTGTCCCACTCCGTTCCAAACACCCACCCTTCTGGCTATTTTTACTAAACCTTATGTTACCTACTTGAGAACATTGAGCCATATAGGCAGATTCATCTTCTATTGACTGCCACATCTGAGGTCTACCATCACACTTTCCCCTCCCCAAGTATAAAGTCTCCAAGGAAACAAATCTTTGGAAACTCCCCATTCTGGCACTGGTAGAGAAAAATAATCAGAAATTGGTCTTTCATATAGGGCTTAGT